CATTTCTTCTTTTCCACAGAAGCTTTTGCAAACATTCTTTTTATACGTGGGGGTGCGTTTGTGGTAACGTTGAGAGGAAATCCAAGTCTGCACTGGGGAAACGCTTACCTTTTTAGCAACCTACAATGAGCAGTAGCTCTGGTTCCCAAATGGCCTATTCAAACACTCGTTGATGCTTTAGAGCGGAGGAAACATGGGGACTGCGGTTATGTTTTTTGATCCATCCGGTGGTTCACGCCCACCTTCATCAGCCCAAAACGCATAGATGGCGGCTGAACGAGTGATATACTGATCACTTATGAGCAACTTAGTAGATGGGGAACGAAGGGACGGCAGTGAATTTGCCGTTTGCATTTCTTCGGGAAGCCGATTCCGGATGGGCAGAAACTTGTGCAGGGAGAAGTCACTTCACAGGCTGGTTGCACGAAACTCCGTCTCAGCTAATAATTTATGGGTACGTATGTAGTGGGAGGATCTTGCTACCGCTTTAACTCCCGAGCTCCAAGAGTGCAGGTGTTGACGGCAAAATATAGGGTAAGCCTCTTCTCGAGGGGTTCCAACCTTGACATGTCACATTCAGAGAAGTAATCTAAACTGCAGTCGTTTCCCGCTGTTCTTAATCTAAAATAATGCTTTGCCCTTGTAACGGCCAGAATCCAATAATCTTGGCCTGAACGCGGGAAATAACTAGGTGGTGCCAACTGACGTGAATCTGACTAGTTCCTGCGTTCTACTGTATAGCTTCCTAACTTCCGCGAGTGACGCACAGTCAAAAGTTGGATCAAAATATCAAAACACGGTTTGTAGTAATTCAATGGTAGATTCGTAACAAAATCTGTGGTACTATCAAAGCAACAATAAGTTATGTCAAAATTACAAAAATACCTCAACAGTGCCGTTGGCTAACTATACAGTCCAAAACGTTCTCGGGTACAAACACGTGCTACACGGTAAAAACTGGTTAAACAAATACAACTGTCAAGTACCTGTCTGTCAATAAGAATATTCCCGACAAAAGGGATCAAAACTCAACAAACGAACGTTCCCAGTAGACAGTCAAAAGACAAACAGTCAAATCACTGCACCACCGTAAGTTGAACCAAAACAAAATGTCGTGCGCAGTAAAACAACATCACCTTGTCAACAGTCCAGCGTCACATAATAGGACAGTGAAACATTCATAATGTCTCAAACATATAAAGGCAAATACTGAGTGTAAAGCCAAATAAGACGGTTAAAGAAGCAAATAACATTGCACCGGCTAGGGTCAAAGGTACACCATCCATAACGAGGGTAAAAATGTCAAAATAAGTGTCAGTACAATCAAATAAGGGTGATCGGGAGGGATTTTCAGATCAATTTTCCGTTACACCCTTCCGATTTCAAGTTGATCACCAATAGGGGGACCAAGTAGGATGAACGGGCAGTGTTTTAAAACTGGACGAGTACACACTTCGTAGTTGGGAACTATGATTTGGTATTTTTTAAATTATGAACGATACATCCTGAGAGTCTTCCTGATCTTGTTCTGTTACAAGCTGTTTGTTCAGTTGAACTCACAGCACTGAGATGTCCTAGTTATAGATCTGAAATGGAGCTGAGTTTTGGCAACTGTCGCCCAGATACTTAAAGCACCAAGTTAAGGTTACTGTTGGCAATGCTGGTCCATCCGGATTTGACGTCGGACTGAAGGAGGGTACCGACACAACTGAAAAAAGCATAAAAAGTTCACATCGAACCACAGTCACAGAATCAGCTCATGGCCATTGCAGGAATAAACGACATTTAAGTCTTCGGTGTATAGAAAAGCTTGGCCAGTGACAAGGCGGTCGGAAATACTCTTAATATGGATGATAAGCAGGACGGGCCTGAGGGCCCTATCTTGTACGGCTGCACTTACGACGTGTCTTGGAGTAGATTGAATTGGGTTGATTTTTGTCATTTGGATGCCATCATGTAGAAACAATTTCCACCAGCTTGGCAGGGGAGGGTTGCAAACACCTGCTACGTTCAAACTCTCAAGGAGGCTATTATCAGCAACTAACTAGATAACCCTCGGCATATCGAAGTACAGAACAATGGCTGCTTTGGGTGCCTCACGACCACTAACATGGAGGTTGAAGAGGCGAAAACGATACGTAACGCATGGCCTATCCTTGAAGACGCCATGTTTAGACCATCACAGAACCTTTCGCAAGTAAATGATAAGGCACGCCGTCTTTCACAGCATTGTCCATAATTCAGGTTGGGACCCAGGGGTCATATCGATGGGCTCGGAGCTGTTGACACTGACCTTCTCTCCATATTTATAGTGTGGATTTGAAAGGCTAGTTTTCTGTTCGGTATAGTATGTACCAGTTTCCAACTAAAGGGTTAATAGCTTCAACAGAATGAAGAGAGTATCTTGTCCACTGCTTCTTAGGATCGAGACCATCTATTTCTTTTCCCTCCGTTGGTCTTAGGCTGCTAATGCCTTCAGCTATGTTTTCGCCAGTAGGTACCACAGTCCGAAAGTGGAGGGTGCTGCGCCTAGGCAAGAGCAAGCATTTCACAACCGAAGTTCGAAAGGCATGCGCTGAATAGTGTTTAAATCGTGACCGTTGTTGTGGACTACCTCTTTAAGAGGCAAGTGCTGTGTATCTATTTTCGGTTGGGAATGTTTTTTGCACAAACAGTGTTGCGGTGTATGTCTTGGAGCTAGCTCTAAGGGCTTCCAACTCTTCATTCAGGGTTGTTTGCGCACATAGGTTTCTTACTGACTCACGTGTTCTGACGTCGTTAGCAAACAGTGACCACATGGTGCTTCCAATAGAGCTGGGTCGCTGGTCCCCCTTAACTCCCAGCGAATCTCCAGCTGCTAGATACAGTGATTCTAAAAGAATCTGCCTAATTGGTGGACTCGCTTATTGATGATAGGTGGAGTAAATTTATGAACACTATTGAAACTGTTACTTGTCCTAGCATACTTAAGTCAGTCTCGCTTAGACCTATTAACTATCCTCCATGTGTAACTAGCCAAGTTGAAATCACCCTGTTGGGAAGAGGATTGTGTAGACTTTTTGTCACACCCAGTATTGATCAGTTTCAAAAGTCTTTTGGTGAGAGTTTATTCAAAATTTTCAGTACTGTCGCATGTTGAACTCTCACGTCGAGAAAAGAAGTAAATCAGAGGAAGGCTTCCGGGCCTGATACTGAGTTAAGATTCAACTAACGCAGCTGATACTAATATATCCATGGCTGAGAGCGTATCACACATTCTCAGAGGGTTATTCTTTGTAGGTTGCATTCGTTAGTCGGAAGCAGTCGTCATTGTTGACACCCAACTAACATAGCTAATGTTCATTGTGAAGAATGATATCTTAAGACCACTTCAGAACCTCCACATTGGCACTTCCGACCAACCAGGTGCACTAATATCATGCATGCTATGAGTAATAAAATGTGTCGTCGCCGAACTACCACGAATCAAACATGCCGACTGCTTATAATGGAGAGTCGGAGTTTTGCGCAGCCTTTTTGCCACAGCTGGTGAAAAAAGAAAGTATGACTGGAGACCATCTAAACTTTAACCCTCTTTATATGCTGAAAATTGGTACTTCCTTGTTTATTTCATAACTTGTGGAATCTTCGGATGTTTTTGATCTAATTTACTGACCTTTCTTCCATGCCATTTATGCCCCGTACAATCTTGTGCATTTCCCAACACACATCAATAGGACGATGGCTATAAACTGGCGTCTCTCATGTTAAACTATTAATATGAGAATGAAAAATTTATTTATTTTTTATTACTTTAGCTGTCTAATATGTAACGGAATCAGTTGGGATCACTGAGAAGTTGAAAGGATGTAACCACCGGTTCATTGTGGAGGCCAGCTCCCATGAAGTAAGTCTCACTAGTTCAGTAGCCAAAAGTTTGTATGGGGCCATCTAATATCCCACCTCATTACATGTCAAGGGAGATTGTCCTAATATCGCTGAACTACTTGTGTTTTGGAAAAGCCACCCCTGCTTGGGAAATCTCACCACTGAGAGAAGGAATCGGGCTGTTGCAAGCAGTATGTATGTTGCCAGTGACACATTGTTCATAGACTTGAGCAAAGATTTCAATGAGGTCTCACACTTACGCTCAAAGAAGAAGCTAGGGATTGTTGAGATCGGCGAATTAGTTGGAAATTGAGTCAGAGACTTTCTATGAGAAAGATAGCAGGAAGTAAGAGTGGTCGGAGCCTCACTTTTGTGGATACCAGTGGCTAGTGAAGTGCTCTAAGGTACTGTCCACTTCCCCTCCTACTCCACGCGAACGAGTTGCCCAGGGCAGTTAGGTCTTCCACCGTGGTGTTTACAGATGACGTTAACTTCGGGAGATCTATTGACAGTGTTGAAGATAGACCGGCATGAAAAGATGACCTGGGGTCTGTGGAGCTTGAGGTTTTATCTAGAGGGTCAGCCATGTGAAGATGTCGTGACGATCTACATGAACACTTGAATAAGGACAGGCTATCACCGAAGGTAGTTGAATACAACGACTTCTGTACCACAGCTGGTCGTGAATTCAAGGCATCAACTAGCTGTAGAGTAACAGCTGATAATGAGTTTCAGATTTTGCCTTTCCCGCCGAAGGGATTTCTGAACCTTGTTTGGAACACGTTAGGATGAGGAGGTATCTCACTTTAGCGCATTGCATCTTGAATGGCGATTCACGTATTAACTCGATTGATTCACTTATCCCTACAAGAACTGCTCGTTTCAGAGGAAATCATCTGAGGCTTCATAAATCACTCTCCAATCTTCTAAGCCCGCAAATGCATTTCTACCATACAGCTTTCAACCACTGGAACTCTCACCTGGAGGATATAATGTCTGCACCGTCTTACAAAATTTTCAAGCCAAGAGCTTTTCCGCGCAGTAATTCTACTGGGAAGGATGAAAGTAAGTCACTGGCCAATCATCCTTATTTCTAAAAAGTGAAAATACTACTTCTACGGTTAATGCTATGCATTAAACCTGGCGACGACCTTGAAATAAGCTGCGTCAATTCAAATTCAATGCTGCTACATATGACTGTATTGAATAATGCTTCAAGCTGAGGTGCTTTATCCACTGGGAATATTCATGCTGTCTCTTTTGGTGTTGTTCGTTTATTTTCACCAACTCTGCTTCTTTTTTATATCTCTGTATACAGCGTAAGCCGATTCTTGCTTAATTCCGTTTCTGTAGTCGATATTTAATGTATCCAAAAAGACCGACCACACTACTCGAAGCACCTGGAGTTTCAGTTGTAAAACCCTTAATGGGTATTGATGGTTGTCTACGTGAGAATCTCTTAAGTCACTTCACAATGAACTATCCTCGGGTGAGTTACTGCTCAATACTGTTTTTGAGTATCTTAGCCTAATGACATCCATTAACTTTGAGTTACATGCAATAAGAAAGACGTAGCTGTCTAATACATACCATACCTAGCATCCATCAGGACAAATAGGATATTTATCTGAGGATAAAAAAGACTAATCCACACGGTATATCTTTGCGAAAAATATCTCAGATAGGTATTATCTAGCATTGCTATCTTGGATTACGGGTAACGTGGAGGATAGGAAATCTCTTAATTTGGTTGTAATCTTCACATAAAACCTCCTCCTGCAGGGTTTCTCAGGACGTTGTTTTATAATGAATAGTAAGGGCTCTGATTGGAGCGCTTGCTATTCCAGCCTTATAAATATTATTTAAAAAAAGCTTTATACATCATGAAAACTAAGAGATAAACCATATGAAATGATAAAGTAGCGTAATAAATTCGTATTAAATGGAGGAGAGAATGAAAACAAAATACTGGGCTCCTGAAGAAGCTGTTTCGAAGGTATTTCCGTGGAACATTCACTAGTCTCACTTTATTTTTCAGTAGATTTCCGCGATAAGTGAAAAGTATGTGGTGTGAAATCTTCTGAAGTGACATGCATTACACATCTTCAAGTCACTAAAGTCTTTGTTTCAAAAGGATCAACTTCAATGAATGATGATTTGCGTCGTGCAGAAACAAACGTCTCCTCACTCAAGAATGATTTAAATGGTGTTTCCACCGAATGTGGATAATTCTAAGGAAACTGTGGTGAGCTGTTGGACATTCTCAACTAAAGGTGGTCACGTTCTATAAGGGTGCGCCAGAACTATAGTCAGTGAATGGGCTGCCACGAAAACTAAATGCTTCGTTGCAATGCAGATCTATTATTCCCACTCCTCATCAACTCCTTACGAAGCATACTAAGCCACCTAGACCTCCTCTATGATGCTCATGTTATTCTGTGGAGTGTGGCAAACTGATGGAAATACTAGCAAACTGAGGAACGACCTAGAAATAATGAAGGAGTGTGCTGCAAACAACGAGCTGACTTTCAACCTGAAGAAGTGTCGGGCAATGTCTTGAAAAAACAGCCTATTCTCATTGTGTTAGTAGGCTGTTATATACACTTACAATCAGACCATGGTACTTTTTAGATGAAAAACGGAGGAAAATATAAATCGCTAAAAAGATGCAGGTGGACATTTTGCGCAGGGAACTACAAGTGCCCGCTCCAGAGCTCTTTCTAAAGCTGTGCAAAGCATGTGTATCGTAAACACAAGCGTTTTGAATTCCACTAGGTCCTTTTAACTTCAGCTGTGGTAGGCTCTGATATTAATTCATAACAGCTAATAGAATAGCGACTAATCAAGAAATTCAAACATCAGCTTACGATGAGAGGGAAACTTCAATGATCCTTGCAGGAACACAAAAGAGATCACTCGTCAACGAGTAGTAGCTAGAGTACGGGTACATTTTTTCTCCGTGTTCGCACTCCTGAAACGTCCTGCCACACAAAGTGGCTGCTACTACGTCAGTTTACAGTTTCAGAAAATTTAAAGTGACTGCAGCGTCTCATAAACTACGCTTATTCAGCACTTAAAAAATTAGCATAGAAAAACGAATTGGTAGTATTACTGTTCCTCTTTGTGGATACTCACTATATTTCCACCCTCATCGTTTTCTGTCCACCTTTTCTTTTTTTCTTCTAGTTTTCTTTGCCTTTTCTATTCTCCTCGTTTCCTGCCAACTTCTCCTACTTTGAATAGTTTGAATGACAGCCCAGAGATGCGAAATTCACTGGTCTTTACCAGAGCCACTATACTGGGAAGTCATAGAATAGAACAATACTCAACCACCAACTGAGCTTAACAGAAACCCCTCATGGTGACTGAACAGGTTTAATGCGTAGAAGTATACAAAAGACCTGGAATCAATACAGCGTCGAGAAGTGAGGGACAAAAGTCCCGTGCTTTATACTAGCTCAACACAATGATATCGGACACCTATAGGCAATTGTGCAGAACATAACAGTCAGAGTGACATTAGATCTTGCTTCCATAAAATAAAACCTAACCATATTAGGATATGGTTATCTCAGAATTCTTTTATTTTCCGAGGTAATGTTGGCATTAATCTTCTTGGTGACTCTGTTGAAGTAGGTGTTATTAAATAACCTTCAGAATGCTGGGCTAGTTGATTTCATAATTGAGTTTCTACCGTTTTTCAATAGAAGTAAAAACATGTTTTTGTTTTCCGTTAAGTTGCTTTTAATTGCTTTGACCTAGATCAGGGAATAATGGCCGCAATTGCATGATTATGTACACATATAATCTGAACTCAAAAATTTCAAAGAATTAGGTGAAAACACACTAAAAAACACTAAGTATGTACAACGGTAATCCGGTAAATTTGAGCAGTCTGTGTATTTTCGAATTTTTATATGAAGGAATAATTAGTATGGACTTAACGAGTTTCATATGAAGTAATTATGATAACTAACTTGTGCATGCTCGGCACATTTGGTTTTGAAGGGCTTATCATATTTCTGAAGGTATTTGTCTGATGAAATCCTTGGGAAATCGCTCGAAAATATTGGTCAGAATCATGGGAACTTTAATAACGGACATTGTAAAGGTGATGAGGTGCTCTTAATTGGAGTAACAGTTTCACTATACTTCACCGTAAACTGTTTTGTGCAATGTTGGTGAATCATTTTTAAAACTTTAAATGGAATAGCCACTAGGGAATAGTTTAATTTTGACCAAGTCGCCATTTAATTACGTTCACGTGTTGCATACATATTTGAGCCGATAAACTTTAAGTTACACGGATTAGCATCAAAAGCTGACTCTTATTGAAGTTACATCTAGAGTGATTGTTAATGAATGAAACAGATCATAAAAAAAACGGACCCAGTTTGCATACACAAGATCACTAAGGTATTAATGGATTTATTAATTTATCCTGGACACTACCCTAAGATGATTTCTTGAGACAAGTAGTTACTTGAGGATGAATTCAAAAAAATGTCTTGTATCGAGTTTTCAGTGACTATTGTACTCAACCAGACTACGTCTTCAGAATTCATTTTTATGGTTTGGTTAAGTCTGTATCCATCTGATTATTATTTATTACAACCAATCTATTATCCGTATCATAATCAAAATATCTCGATTACGTAGGTGTAAGCACTAGGCAGTTTTAATATCTTTCTTTCTTCTCTCGAACATTTTTACTAATAAATATCGTAATTATTCAATATATGCTGTTTGGGGCTTGTTCCAAGGATGTCCACTTAAATAATTTTCAGTTTCATAATAGATATTCTGATGGATAAAACGCTGTGTACCTCTGTATTCTTGTGGACAGAATTAGTCCTCGAAGGGGACCTGATTGACTCGGACTCTTTAGCTGATATTGCTCTACCAGGCAAAGGCACTGACAAAATGAAGTATTCTGGATTCTTTTGAGCATGAAGCTGTGCACGTTTGTCATGTGTTTTGCGCTTGTCATATTTAGGATGATGCTTCAGGATTCTACTGCACCAACTCCAAGTTTTAGAGGGAGTCAATTAATGAAGTGTGCTGACAACCTCACCTAGTTGTGGGAGTTCATCATCCTAAATAGACTAGTTTTTGACAAATTAACAGCTGAGATTTGAAGGACTTATTTGGTATTTTCCAATTGGTATGCTCTCTGGCATGGGTGAGATATCTGATGACATAACAAAAAATCAATGTACTGTGCTGCAGTGTTATTCGCATGTAGTGGAAGCATCGGGTGAGTGATGAAAATATTAAGTGTGGGGTATTAGACAAAGAAAATATGAGCGTTCACCAACTGAACCTAAACAGACACTACTTTTGTCGAACTAGCTCCTACATCGACGAGTGATATTACCCAGAATAGGTTTGGGTGATGGTATGTTCTGACATTTGTAACACTGGTGCAGACATATATACTCCTCGTTGTATATGAAGTCTTGAACATTTTTACTAAGCGTTATCTATTTATGCTTTTCCCTCTCACATACTTTTGTTAATACCCATTTTCTGTTCATCTGTTCCAAGGATCCAAGTATTGCGACTTAGACTGATACATTTTTGTGTCAGGATGTGCACTAATCTGTTTTGTGTTTTATTGATATGCTAAAATAGTATATATGAAGGTATTCATGCAAAACATTTTCCCTCGACGTCTTGACCAGAAATTTCGCTGGCATTAAACTTTATACTTATTGCCATGAAGACTTTCAAGACAACTTATTCAATCTTCAGTTTTTGGCAATAGGGATAATAGGTTAATTTAGACTGCATCATCCCTCGCAGTAGGTTTTGCAGTAAAAACGTAGTATGCTTCGACGCTTTCACTGTAGAAGTTGATACCAATTGCTCTGGTAAGGGTTTCAGTCGGTGGTCAATCTGTGTGAGAAGTCTGGGTTCATGCCGAGGTTGATTTAATCCTGAGTTTGGAATTTTCTTGTAGTGAACTCGAGAGAGGGGGAAAAAATTCATTATTATTGTTGAAGATACAGAATGTTAATATTCGGTCACTTTTCCTTCTATGACCAGGCAACAGGAGCAGGTCTAGTCGTTTTAAACGATTCTCATAAGACAGGCTAGAAAGGCTAGCTACCTACTTAGCACTAACCTTTTTAACGCATTTCATAGCCCAAGCGTCTCTTATAAAACATGGACTTACCGCCTGAATGCAGTGTTCGAAACATGCCTTCATCACAGCATTTGAAAACTCTGAAAGAGACCAGAGTACGCGGAAGTTTTTGACTATGTTTTTACTAGAGTGTTCAGATATCACCAAGTCATGCTTGATTATCCATCCATCCCACGTCCTTATTTTTTCTGAAAGTCAGGTACTGGTATGTAATCTACTGTGTTCTGATGACAACTGTTATAACATCATGTTTAACTGCACATTCACTATAACTAATTTCCAAGCATTGACTCGGCTTTGACTAATCGACTAGCTCATTTATTTCTGTTTGTAATGCATAT